ATGGCCTATTCCCAAAAGGAGAAATCTTAGGCCTTACTTTTAGGGCGAAAGCATTTTGGTCTTTTTTCTAAGATGGCTCATTTTGGTCTCACACTAGGTTTTGCTGGTTGTGCCCACCTTTGGAACTTGGATGGCCACGGGTCCCCACCCATAGTGATGGACAGATAGCCATTGCCGAACTCAGGTGGCTTTCCGGTCTAAATTATGATGGAAACAAACTGAGCCACATATCCCTCAGGATCCCCAGCCCTCTGTCTTCCTTTGTTATTAAGCACGCCTGCCCTTCAAGAACTGTCAGACTAATTTAGGGGAGCACGCAGCTTCAAGCGCGGACACAACCCTCACTCTTTCTAGCACAGTAAATTTCGCCCGATGGGATACCTCAGGTCAACTTAGCATGAGACTTGGATCACTGTAGGATTTATTCTTAATTCTGTTATTTCTGTGTTTACTTGTTTTAAATATAATAAAAGAAGATTATAACACGAGTCAGTTCAGGATGGGAAGCTGACACATAATTCAGGGTCCCCTTCAGATGTGAAGTTTATCAAAGAGAAGACTTTGGGGCCATGATGGGTCCTTGAGGTGGAAGGGAGAACATTAGACAGTACGATATGGAGATCTAAGCATGCTGGGGCCTTAAGGGGAAGTAAGGGATTCCCTTTAAAACGTGGAGAGGAATTCCACTGTGAGTGAGATTGAGGGGGCCACACTGAGAAGGCATGGTGGGAGGAGGCCAAAGGAGCCTTCGGAGTCCCTCCCTGGGAAGAACCCCGTGAGGAGTCTCAAGCCAATCCCAAGAACAAAGGGAAAGTTGAACATTTTATGACCTTTTAGTAGTGGCAGGAAGTTCCACATCACAGGATTTGGTTCAACATAGCACATGTGACACAGAGCATGGAGAGCTAGCTACCAACTCACAGCACACACTGCTTAACTCTGTCCCAGAGAAGCGCGGCGAGGTGTCACGTGATGCAGGCTTTAGGGGCTGGTCTAAAGGGGCAGGCCCCTGTCCTAAGGACCACTTTCTTCAAAAACAGTTTTCAGCAGCTGTGAGTGCCAGACAAGGTGCTTGGTGGATGGAGGGAGTGACCGGGTGAATGAGGGATGGTTTGGAATACCAAGAGATTGAGTAGTTGCATCATACAACATAAAATCTGCCGTAAAAGAGAGAAGTAGAACTTCGGGGACGCAATGTAGGAAGTGACTACTTCTACTTGGGGCTGTTCAAAGAGGGCGTCACAGAGGTGGTGACACCCGGTCAGGGCTTAAGAACTGAGTGAAGCGGGGTGTCCACGTGAGAAAAGCTTGGCTGTGCAGCAAATGAAAGCACAGCTGCCCATTTACGGAACAAGAGGGAGGCAGCAGCATGCAGGAGTGGTCGACGCTTTAGAGCTGTTGGGTTAGATTGTAACTAAAATGCTCTGCGTTCTCTCTCATCCTTTCGGACCCTGGCACAGTTTACCCTTGAAAAATAAAGCCCTTATTGTACCCTGTGGTCAAAACCACCCTGGAGAACACAGACTTGTGGTTGAGGGATGTATTTCACGTATGAAATTGAGAGAAAGAAGAGGAGGGAGGGGGAAAAAAGACAAAATATTTTCTCAGTAAAATACCCTATTAACAAAGTCAAGAATGAGGAAAGGCAAACAGGCTTGCCAGTCAGCAGGGATATCATTTCATAGGACACAAGCCGCTGCTGACGGAATTATACATCTGTTATGCAATTCTTTCCTCAAGCATAACAGCTCATTCCCACTCTAATCAGAGCAGCCAGAAGTACCCACCAGAGGCTCTTAAGATCAGCCTGTGTACACTCCCTGAGAGAGGCGGGAGGGGGAAGATGGCTAGGGCCTCACCTGAGGTCACCGCCACCACCGCCTCCCCACCCCAGTGGACCCAATTCTGCCCCAGCTGCAAAGGGTCTCTGCAGGTAGTGGTTTTTACAGGAGACGGAAAGTTAACTGGAAGGTGGGGAGACTCCATCCACACAGCTGTAGGCCATCTTGCTGGAGTATGACTTTTCAGTGATACAGCTGTCTTGGGGTCACCCATGCTCCTGTAAGTAAGCCAAACAAGCTTGTGGCTTCGGCAGGTTGGATTTGGGTGAGACTGTTACTTTGATCTGTTGGCTGGTGCCCTGTCTGGGGTAATGTCTCACCAGGAACAATCCCCACAGTAGCATTTTAGAGCACGCATTCTGCTTTCAGCACAGAAGAACTGGAAGGGAGGGAGGGAGACTGTTACTGGGTCATGGAGACCCAGTAAGAGAACAGTGGAATGGAATGCTGGGGTCCATGCCTGTAGTACTAGCATTCCAGAGGCTGAAACAGGATCAGTGAGACACTGCCTCAGATCTCAGAGAGGGAGGGAGGAAGGGAGGAGGGAGGGAGACAGGAGGGAGAAAGAGGGAGAGAGAGACAGAGACAGAGACAGAGAGAGATAGACAGAGAGAGAGGGGGGGGGGAGAACGCTCACTGGACCACTGAACTAGTCCAAAGGGAAGAGCATGTAAACAGAAAGTATAGTGTTTAGGGTGGAGGTCAAAATGAATAGAATGTTTATCATAAGTCTGCAAGACTGTATTGGGCTGGGAGCTTGTAGAAACTCAAAGTTCTGAAATTAGTTTATTTTACATATTTATTTATGTTTCTTTTCTGAGTCTGAGTGTTTGCTAGCTTTTATGTATGTGTGTATGTATACCACTTGTGCTGGTGCCCCAGGAGGCCAAAAGAGGACACTGGATTTCCTAGAACTAAAGGTACAGATGGTTGTGAGCCTCTTTGTGGATGCTGGGAACCAAACCTGGGTCCTCTGCCAGAGCAGCCATGGTTCTCAGCTGCTGAACCGTATCTCAGTCCAATGGGTTTTGTTTTGTTTAATTTTTATTTTTAGACAATGTCTCACTCTACAGCCAGCTTGGAGCTTCGAGTGTAACCAAGGCTAGCCTTAGACTCGTGATTTGGAGCTTAGAGCGTAACCAAGGCTGGCCTTAGACTTGTGGTAATCCTCCTGACTTAGCTTTTGAGGGCTGGGATTACAGACTGGCATTACTCCACTTAGCTAGAGAAACTTTTTTTTTTTAACTCATGAGGAAAAAACAATTGAAGAGAAAATAGGTGTCTGTCTGTGTTCATAGCACAAACAGCCTACTAATAAACACTTGCACCCTTTTTCATCATTTGAGAATTTCATAATGCCCATAGTGTGTTTTAATCAAATCTCCCCACATTTCCCTCCTATCCTATTTCTCCCAACCACTTTTACCTCCAGAATCCCTGTGATCTGTTTCTGAGCCCATCACATCCACTTAATGCTGTCTGTACATCATGGGTGTAGGGCCATCTATTGGAACCTGGGTGGTCCTCTCAGAGAACACATTCCTGAGTAAAACTGACTCCCTCCCCCACTTGCCATGAATTGCAATAGCTCCTCAGCTAAGGTTAGGACTTCACGAGCCCCTTCTCCATCCACAGCGAGATTCCAGCTGCTTTGATACTGTGCAGGTCTTATTCACACTGTCACAGACGCTGTGAAATTATGTTTGCAATATCCCTGTCATATCCAGCAAATACTGTCTCACTGCAGAATTCTATCACGGGCTCTTAGAATCCCTCTTTATTTTTTTCCCCAAATGACACCTTATGACTCTGTAGTTGTGAACCTTGTTTTTTTATTTTATTTTATTTTTTTAGTTATGAGGGGAAGGGTGGGCATGTGCACATGAGTGTATTTTGCCTGTAGAAGCAGGGAATTCCTCTGGAGCTGGTGACAGGTGGTTGTGAGCCACCTGATGTGGGTGTTGGGGGTTGAACTCGGATCCTCTGGAAGAGCAATACGTGCTGATCGCCGGTGAACCATGGGCTGGAGAGATGGCTCAGCAGTTTTGAGCACCAGCTGCTCTTCCAGAGGACCCCCAAGTTCAAACATTTCTTGATCCCTAAGCCTAAGCCATAACGATCCCTGAGGCTCTGGGGTGTGGGATATGCTACAG